CGCAAAACTTTACTATCGTGACCAAAACTTTAATTTGAACTCTTAGGAAGGGTTGTAGGGACTTAATAATATAACTCAAATTATTTTTCGATTTATACAAGAACAATTATTTTAAAATGAAACACAAGATTTTATTTTATTTTATTTTCTCGATTGCTACAAATATGCCTTGCCTAGACTTCGCGACTTCAATCCCCAGAAAGTATTTGAGCCCTCCCAATTTCTTCAACTCATACTCAGTTGTCAGCTGTTTCCGAGTTTTAGAAATTTCTTCCATGTCATCCCCTGTGATGATCATATCATCCACATACACTACTAGAGGGGTTATCTTGCCCATTCTGTGCTTTAGAAACAGTGTGTGATCTGAGTCACTTTGTTTGAACCCATACTTCTTCATTGCCAGACTAAATCGCCCAAACTATGCTCGAGGTGACTGTTTCAGTCCATATAATGCCTTTTGTGGCTTACACACGACTCTGGCTTCTGATGGGCACGTGTAACTAGGGGGGAGATCCATGTATACTTCTTCATCAAGATCGCTATGGAGGAAGACATTCTTTTCATCAAGTTGGTGTAATGGCCAGTCAAAGTTGGTTGCAAGAGACACTAGAATTCGCACTGTGTTTAGTTTTGCAAATGGTGAGAAAGTCTCTTGGTAGTCCACCCCATATGTCTGCATATAACCTTTTGCTACCAGCCTTGCTTTGTATCGTTCGATAGATCCATCTGCCTTGTGTTTGTTGGAAAACACCCTTATGCATCCTATTGCTTTCTTCCCTTCAGGTAATGGACCAAGGGTCCATGTGTTATTTTTTAGCAGTTCTTCCATTTCTTTCATTGATCAAGCCCATTTTGGGTCTAACAAGGCTTCTTGAACTTTTGTCGGAATACAATTTGATGAGAGTACATGTGCAAAGGCTTTCAAAGTTTCAAGTAATTAGTCGTAGACATGTAATTCGTAATTGGATACTTTGACCCCCGTTCTTCCAAATCTGGAGAGTATCTGTTAGGCGGCTTACCCGATTATACGTGAAATGTAACTTATATCCAGTAAGAGTATCTGAATTTATATGAAAATTTATATCAGGGGTGCTTACCTCGGAGATCTCAGGAGATGGGTTTGCAGGTACAAAAGGAATGAGAGAGTCTGGTTCAACTCGTGGTTGGGAGTTTGATTCCACTTCTATATCATTTCCCGATTCAGTTTTTGCCTGAGCCAGTTCCTTTCCTGGCTCTGCTATTGTCTCTATATTTGGCCAATTAAAGTACAACCAATTTAACTCTTCCTCCTTTGTCTCCCCTCTGAAGATGAGAGTTGGTTGATGAAAAAAGGTGTCGATCTCTGAGAAGGTGACATCTATAGTTACATAGGCACGTTTCGTTAAAGGATTGTAGCACCTGTACCCCTTCTGATGCCTAGCCCACAAACATAAATTGAAGGCGCATGGATCAACCTTCGTCCTTTATTTTTGTGAAGGTGTACATAAACTACACAACCAAAAACTCGAGGAGGGAGCATGGGTGTTGTGGTATCGAGACATGAGATGTGATAACTTGAAATTGGGTGTTGGAAGGCATTCGGTTGAGCATGTAGACTGTTGTGGATACTGCATCAGGCCCGTAAGAGTTCAAGGCAAAAGCTCCATGTAGAATAGCTCCGGTGGTCTCAAGAATGTGCCTATTTTTTCGTTTAACAATGTCGTTTTGTTGGGGAGTTTGAGGGCATGATGTCTCATGAATAAGGCCATGTTGTTCAAAATAGTTACGAAAGCGTTGATTCACAAATTCACCACCATTGTTGGATCGAAGAACTCGAAGTTTGGTAGAGAACTGAGTATGGATCATGGCATGGAACGAATGGAATATATTAAACATTTCATCTTTATGTTTCAATAAATAGAGCGAGGTCATGTGAGTACAATCATAAAAAAACCAACGAACCCCAGATCCAATAGATGAGGTGAGGGGTCCCATACATCAGAATGTACTAAGGAAAATGGAATAATACTTTTATTCATGCTTAACGGATAAGATGTACGGTAACTTTTGGCCAAAATACAAGCATCACATTCAAAGTCAGAAATCACGGTATTTGAAAAAAGACTAGGTAATAGATGCTTCAAATAATTGAAAGATGGATGTCCTAGACGATGATGCCACAGCCATATCTGTCGATCCTTCCCATTGCTCTGTATGTGATGAGCTCGACCCATACTCAAATCTTTCGTATAGAATAATCCCCTATTTTTAGTACCACGCCCAAGAATCTCCTTGGTGAGAATATCTTGAAGAAGATAAAAAGTAGGGTAAATTAGTACCGCACAATTTAATTATGTAGTTACTTGACTTATAGATAACAATTCATGTGAAAGTGAAGGCACTAGTAAAGTATTGGATAAGTGTAAGGAAGGAGACAAAGATACAGAGCCAGCTCCTATGACTTGGGAAATAACCCCATTAGCATTTGCAATACTGGTACGTCGAGGCGGAGATGATCGAGTAAAATCATTTGCATCATAAGTCATATGATCTGTAGCCCTAGTGTCAAATAACCAAGCATTATTATTCTTGTTACTGGGGATAGTAATAAA